TATATTATTTACTTTAGGTATTTTGTCTGCAAGATTTGATCCAACATTCACAAAATATTGATTAAATCCATTAACAATTTCATTATCATCATAAATTTCACCATTATCTTTTACAAAATGTTGTGAGATACCAATCTTTGATTTATGATTCTTCAAAACTTTATTCATTACTCGCCATGTTGCTTTAATATCACCATTACTTTTATTTAATAAACCACTATAATATTCCTTTTTGTGTTTTCTTATAATTCCTACTAATTTGTTTTTATACCGCTTATATTTTTTTTCAGATTCTTGTGTTCTTGATTTTAGAAAGCATGAGTACAAATAGTTATTTTTTTTACGAGCATTTTTCAGTCCTTTCGTCATCCAATCAATCAACCTTTATTTATACAGGTAAATCCCATTGAGCCTCGAGGACTCATTTACAAGAGAGACCTGATTTCAACAAAGAAAGATGACAACAATGGACAACAGCAACAACAATAAACAGTTATAAAAAAGCATACTACAGGTTTTTTTTTTTTTTTTTTTTTTTTTTTAACAAATAGGAGGGCTAAAAGGAAAAGGTAACAAAACAAAAAAAAAACAGCTAGATTCCAAGACACATGTAGAACACTAAAAACAGGAACATGTCAGCATTGGACCCTGCCAGGTGTCCAACAGATTCTTAAAGACACTTAGAGAGGTCAAGGTTGAGAGCTTCAAATCTTTTTGTAAGATGTTCCAGGAAACAGGAGCGGAATAGGAGAAGGCCCTTTTGCCTAGTTCAGTCCTCATTGAGGGAACATTGCAGGTAATAATGTCCTGAGAGCGCACTCCGTAGCTGCATTCACGCAGAGACATGTAGGAGGAGGTTGGTCAACAGTATTTTTTCTAGTATAATTTATTTTTCACACAATTTTTTTCATATAGAGTTTCTAAAATATTCATAAACCTCGTTATATGATGTATTCACATCATCAACATACACGTTTTCCCAAGTTTGTTTATTTAAGTCCTCTTTTAATCTATCTAATGCTTTTTTTAGATGTGTTTATTATTTTGGTCTTTTTATTTTCTGCTTTTATGGTATTTTGATCATTTTTGTAGATTGTAAAGATTGGTAAGTGATCACTTAGGTCAGTAATAAGGATACCACCTATCACATCCCCATTTGCTATATTTGTGGAAATGTAATCAATTATTGTGGCACTGTGAGTTGTAATTCTTGTGGGTTTGGATATTAACGGATAAAGATTTAAACTATACATTGTATTTATGAATGTACTGGTGTTATTTGCATCCAAAGAATTTCCTAGATCAATGTTAAAGTCTCCACACAAAAATGTTTTTTTTTGTTGAAGTTCTTTTCAAATAGCTCCATGATTTTATCAGTAAATATTTCTATCTTTGAGCTTGTTGATCTGTATGCACAACTTACTATGATGTTTTTATCATTCCTGCTTATTATTTCTATTGTTACCATTTCCATTACATTATCAACAATTATTGACATTTCACTAATCAATTTGCATTTTACTTCATTCTTAACAAATAGAGCGACTCCACCACCCCTTCCACTTTTTCTGTTCGTATGATATAATTCATACCCATCAAAATTAATACTTGTATTTACATCATTGAGCCATGTCTCTGACAGTGCTATTATATCAAATGTTCTGTTTAATTGCTTTAAATAGTCTATTATTTTGGATATATTTGCATTTATACTTCTACTGTTAAAGTGAATGATATAAAGACCTCCATTTGTTATATTGATATAGTTAAACTGATCTTCACTGTAATATTTACAATCTTTCATAACTGGAAAGAAATCTGTATCAGTCACATCTTCAATGCTATATATTTTTGATTCTATGTCTTTGTATATTGTCATGGTTAAATGTACTTGTTCTTCAGACTGTAAATTTTGTCAAAATGAAATTTAAATGAATTTTAATTCATCTTATCTTAAAATCATCTAAGTTTTTCCAAATCCTTCAGTTCTTTTATTATTTTTGGTTGAGACCCTTCATGCACTTTGATCCAAACATTTCCATTTCTTGTCCATGTTGATGTTATTTTATTTTGTTTTTTTAACAACCTTGCCTCACGTGCAATGTTTCCATTTTTCGTTGTTAGATGTTCATTTATGTATACCTTTGTTCCCTTCAATTTTTTTGCCTGCATTATTACATTATTTCTAGCTTTTCTACTTATGAACTTCATAATTATTGATGGTTTGGATTTATCGACTTTACTGGGCAAGATGTGACAGATAGAGATGTCTTCATGGTCCACATCAATGTCTTTATCTTGAAAGAAAGACACCACTTGCTCCTCCAAAGTCCGCAGCTCATCCTGCTGTGCATCCCCTGTTGTGTCAGCACCCGCAGCAACCTGTGCATATGACCGGCGCTTGACTTCAAGTCCAGTTATCACTAGATTATTTAGTCTTGCGTCTTGCTCCAGATCATCAACTTTTTTTTCAAGTTCAGCTATTTTATTGTCTTTATTAGTTATTTGTATTTTTAATTGTTTTACTTCATTAATCAATCCAACCAGGAGTTCTTGTTGAGATGCTAACCTTGTTAGTTCAGCACTCATAAAGTTTAATGATTTCTTAATCTCCTCCATATCTTCCGAATTCCCAACCAGTGATTCTTGCTTCCTTTGTCCACGTTTATTTGACATTTTTCATCAATTTTCTGTCCTAATGTTGTTAAGATTTCAGTTTGCTAGACGACAGTCGAAGGCTGATCACGATGTTCACCAACCTTTAGCTGGTAGCTGCAACCTAGCAGCTACAATAACCAGATCGGTGAGCAGATCCAACAGTCCGCAGGACCAGCCATGGAAGGTAAGCTCCAGCAGGCACACAAATCCAACAACTACAGACCAGAGCCACGACCCCAACAAAGCCGGTCCAATGGTAGCCAGCGTCGTTCCACCCACAGCCTGACGGAGAAGCGCAGCAGCTCTCACCGGAGCTCACGTCCCCGACAAGATGGTCCAACTGTGGTCCGCGTCGTCCACCCACAGCCCGCCGGAGAAGTCTAGCGGCCCTCACCAGCCAGTCTACTGGAGCAAATCCAGCGAGACAACGCCAAGGGCGGAAGGCGGAAGTCTTCGTCAAACTTTTTCTTTCACTTAAAATAAAAAATTTCTTACGCCTTGTTTACCACTTTCTGTCTTTTTGGTGTTCTTAATTTTTCTTTTTTTGTTTCCTGCTCTTCCTCCTAAATGTCTGATTGTTTGATAAGTTTTTAACTCTCGTGCAGCGCAGCACTCAGCACTGTCTTTTGAGGACACCTCAAAAGACAACATGTTCAGCTTACTTCAGGTTTTGGTATGGTATGGTATGGTATATAGTTTATTCATTTTAAAAAAGTACAAAATAATTCCATAACAATACAAAAAAAGATACAAAAGATTTAAAATGAAAGGCAGCAGAAAGAAGAAAAAATCTTATTATATCTGCCCCTTTTTTCAAACAATTATTTCAGACATAATAATCTTCAAGTAACAGTACAAAATGAATAGCTTTCTAATTTTTCTAATTCTAATACAAAACGCACACTAATCTACTTCATATATACTTTTTTAACAATTCAGTTTTGATTTTTTTCTTAAATGTACACATTGACTTGGCATTTTTAACATCACTCTTTAGACCATTCCACAATCCAACTCCTTGGATTGAGGTAGACCTTCCCTTCAGACTAGTTCTGAATTTTGGTAGGTTTTCATGAGCTGTATGCCATAATCATCATTATTAAAACAATTAAAGACCTGAAATATTTCAGTTGGTGTGCAATGAATCTGAAATATATGAAAGTTTCATTTTTATCATTACATTATGGAAAATAATGATCTTTATCACAATATGCTAATTTTTTGAGAAGGACCTGTACATAGTTTCGTTCCACCTCATGAACCACATTTGATGTGAATGACAATAAAGAACCTTGAATCCTTGAATATCTGAAAAATTGACTTAGAATCGTATTTGTATATGCTGTTTGTTTAGAGTGACATCAGTTGGTAGAGCTGCTGCCTCTCAGCAAGAAGGTCACCAGATCGAATCCGGGCCGGTGTGCCTTTCTGGGTGGAGTTTGTATGTTCTCTCTGTGCATGTGTGGGTTTTCTCCCACAGATCGAAAACATGCATGATAGGCTGATCGGTAGCTCTAAATTGTTTCTAGGTGAGAGTGAGAGAGTGAATGGTTGTTTGTCTCGTTTGTCTCTGTGTCCCTGTGATGTAAATGGACTGTACTTATATAACATCTTTATATCTTATCAAGATACTCAAAGCTCTTTACAACACAATCTGTGCCCTCATTTACCCATTCATGCAGCACTCTACTTGACCTACACAAAGACTAATCAGAGCTTTATCACATTCATACACCAATAGGACACACATAGGAGTTAATGAAGTTTACAGTGCCTTGCCCAGGGGCACTTCGGCATGTGGCTGCTGGTGGAATTGAACCCCCAACTCTTGTATTGGAGGACGACTGTTCTAACCACTTAACCACAGCCACCCCATGTACTTGGACCTTTCCAGGATGTCCCCCGCCTCTCGCACAGTGACTGTTGGATATGAGCACCAGTGAGCACCAGTGAGCACCAGTGACCCCCATGACCCGAAAAGGAAGAAGCAGATAAAAGATGGATGGATTAAATTTGTTTAGCTAAGGTGGCCATCTTTAATTAGGTTGATAAAAGTTAATGAGTTGTAGATGTATTTCCAATAATTACTTTGTACTTCAAAGTGTTATTACAATCTGTTCCCTTGTTCATGAAATATTTGACTAAGAGACAAACACACAGAGAAAGACTAAAAATTACATGATTCCCTGCCTTTCATGGCCACACACACAATAAAAATGGAATGCAATGAGTAATGTGACAATGCACACTGATGAAATGCTAAACTAAATCAAACAGTTACATTGTTTCCATACAGGACTGAGTAATCTGCTGTGATGGAACACAACAAGCTGAAAGTGTACCTGCTGCTTTGGTTCGAATCTGTTTGGATGGCGTGCTGGGTTCTCCAACACCAACATTGTTGATTGCCACCACCCTGAATTCATACTCCACCCAGGGGTTCAAATCCTGCACTGTTGCTTGCATCATCTGTCCAGGCACAGAATCAGGAACTAGGATTAAAGAATTAAGAATTGAGTTGTTTTCTTTTTTTAATTTCTTTTGGATTCCTGTCAGACATTTTTTTTAAAATATTTCAACAAATTAAAACACAAACCCAGTTAAGTAAATCAAACTGTAGTGATGCCATTTTTAAATAGTTTAATACTTTTCCAGAGTATGCCACCAGTTCAACAATGATTCTTGATATTACAATACATGGTAACATTTTACAATAAGGTACACAAAATGTGCTTATTAACTACTAGGGAACGCCTCAGGAATGAATCAGTAGCTAATGGGTAGTTAACCAGTACTTACTAGGGAAAACACAGCCAAGTCTTATTAGGGGACTAATGGTTTGTTACCACAGTACCAGAGGAGCAATTCTCCACGTGGGTTTTGAATAAACCCTGCACCAGAGAGGTCACAGCTCGTAATTGTCAAAAACCTGTTTCCTAGTGATTACTGATTTTATTGGATTCTTACCACTGATTTGCAATCTCATAATCTTGTACTGGTGTCATCTTAACTATGTCTGACTATCACTTACTGAGTACCAAATCATTGCCTGGCTATTATTTTGTTCACTGATGTAGTGACGCATCATACTAAGTACTTACTGAGTAACCAATCATTACTCACTACCTGATCATTACCTACTGTTTCTGTGTACCCCAAAGTTTCCAAAAATATGTATTTTTTTTACTCTTTTTAATCTGACTTAACTATAAAGCACTTCGGTCAGCTTTTGTTGCTTTTATGTGCAATAGGAAAACAAATGACATCCATCCATCCATCCATCCATCCATCCATCCATCCATCCATCCATCCATCCATCCATCCATCCATCCATCCATCC